TCTTTATTGAGGAGCTGCACTCACAGCTATTCCTTTCCAACTAATTCAGTAACCATCCTCTTAGTAGACGTACACCTTCCCCAGCTCATTATTTCATGCAAAATTATCTGTCCATTTTTAGTTTTCTTTCACAATTTGGATCCCAAACACAGAAAGGTGTGCCAAGACCACATGCCAGCCTGATTTATAAAACTACAGCTTGACAACCCCTTAACTACACGCATTTGTCACTAAGAGACAAGTCAGCAAGAAGACAAACGTTTTAAAAGGCAACTCACTCTGCCAGGGCTGGCAATAAAACAGAATACGAGCTAAACAACGTTCTTTAATTTTAACCTTAAAGTTTAGCACTGAATGCAAGGGCTTACAAAGAGTGGAGGCTGGATTTACAAGTTCATTTGTAAACCAGCAAAGCTACAGTTCCCCAACACTTGTCAACATAGTAAAAATTTCTCAGAAATGATCACACCTTGTTGTGGTATAAGAAAATTTTTCGCCCTGGGCCTTCAGCCTGAAAAGTAAATCTTTGAGCAAAGAATACAATTAATTGATCTAAATACTGATGAATACAGACTTTATCTTGCAGATTTAAGAAACACTTCTTTCCCATATTCATGATTTGTTTAAGATGTTATGAAAACTATGTATCTGCCCTGATCAGTAAACTTAAGGAGTGTAGTAATGATTTAAAAACGAATGCAGCATTAAAACTGAGGTCCCAGTAGTTAAGATAAAAGGTAGCAGTCATTCTGAATCTGGGCTTTGTCAAATCCAAAACATTCATATTTTCATTTGCCAGTGTCATATCTGTATCGAAGAATACTACAGTTATGCAGATAAGGGTAAAATGGTTCTCATTAATTACTTCCCACTGTTAAATTTAAAGGGCAATAAAACCAGTTGATACTATAAAGGATGCTTTCTTTATAAACCACAGGACCGAGCAAGGCCTATTGCTCTGCAGCTATGGAGAATCATTTAGTAGAACTGATTTACATTTGACTATATACTAACGTTGTGTGCATTTGGCACTTTCTTTACATGCTTCTCACCAATTTGCTCTCTGGGTTAAAAAAAAAAAAAAAAAAAAAAAAAGAGAGACAGACCTTCTGGGCAAATGACACAATGACTCATTAAACCCTTTTAGCCATGAAGATACTGTTAAACATTTATGTCACTTCTTTAATGACATTTTCCACATCACTGTTTTTTCAGTGCAAGGCAGACATTTACCAGAGCTCTAGTTTGGTGCCGCACGTACACCTGAACATCCTGCTTATCTTATCAGCTCAGAAATTGTTACTGACATCACAACAGCAGTTATTTACACATACAGAATTAACGGTTTGTTCTGCTACTATTAACTCATGATTTCAAACAAAAAAAGATAAGCCATTTACTTGCTCTTTGAGAGTACAAATGATTGTACATGAAGACAACAGCATTGTAAAGTACCTCACACATCCCTGTAAATGTTAAATGGAAGTGTATTAGATGCTGAATTAAAAGCTAATTTAACTGAAGCATCAGACATATTTATCGTCTGTGATTCAATTGCATTTTATTGTCCACTGCAGACAAACTGAGTTTTCCTGTATGTATTAAGATCAGAGACCTAATGAAGCAAAACAACCACACTTAGCATCAAATTCTTTTTCAACTGCTTTATATTGCAGTCTTAGGTTTCTCATTTTCTTCACTCGTATTCTTCTTCTAGTCTCATAATAGTTTGAGAAAAAGTCATATTCCAAAAGCAAAGATTTATCCTTATTAGCTTCAGGCAAAAGTTGTCTAGGCACATAATGGTCCTTCTGAGCAGCTATTTTACTGTGGCTTGCAGTTGTGTTTGGTTTTCCATTTTCAGTGTTCACAAAGTAATTAGTTAAGTGGAAATTAAACTTCTGCTGGCATCTATGTGGATTCAAATAAAGGCAGAAAAAGGGCAGGGGTGAGGCATGCAAAAGGTAAAGTTCCTAAACCTCCTTTCCTCTTATTTTCTTTTAAAAAAAAAGAAAAAGTGCATTGCTTTACTTAAATTTAGTTAAATTGGAAGCATTTCAAGATCAACATTTTTTGTAATCTGTGGCTAACAACATACCTAACTTACTTTACTAACACATACAAAATTGAAGATGCTGCAACACAAAACAGTTCATTTCTGGTCTGACCTGCTAAGACTTTATACTATCAAGATATGAGTAAGTACGTGGTTGTGAGTAGGTATGTGTGAGGTGGGATGAGAGAAAGGGGACAGAAAGGGCAAGAGAGGTAAAGAACACACACACACACTACAATCCTAAAGCAGCGTAGCCTCCTTCAAAAAGGGAATGTTTCAAGACCTTTCAAAAAGATATTGTTTTAAAAAGTTAAAAAACAAGGGAGATGAAAGGAAGTACAAAAACTTTCCCTCCGGACACATTTTCAGTTACTAATTTTCAAGACAACCCAAAGTTGCAAAAAGAAGAGACTACAAAACTTCAGGTCAACCCTTCCAGCAAGTGTATCAAAGAAGGGAACAGCTGTAAATTCAACACAGTGCTACCATGTTGAGATTGCAGTTTTTCTCCAGTTCCAACTTCAGCTCAATAGAAGATCGGTCATCAGTGAAATTAAGCTTTCTGTCCCATAATTTTCTGTCATCCTTACAAAGTGTGTGGAACATCGCAAGTTTCAAATGAGGAGGTCCAGCCTCCTGAACAGTTCTGTTTGACTTTCATCACGTCTTGACTGACAGAGTAGAATGCCATTAAACACTAAACAGTGAAGTAAACTCTCTGAACGTGAACTGTCTGATATGCCTTTCTTACAATAAGGAAATGGCATTTATACCCAGAGCTAGAAGGTCATGAGTACTTCTACTACTCACGGTCTTGCTGACCAAAGAAAAATGTATTTTTATATATATATACAAATATATATATAGAAAACATACACATACAAAATATGTATTTTTTTATATATACTCTCTCTATATATAAAAAATATATATAATCCCAATATGTATTTTCTGTAGTGAAGTAATCTAATCAAACCACAGGAAAACTCCAATGTAAACTAAAACCAAAAGCAAACAAAGAAACCTTTTCCACATCAGCATGTCATGATTTCTATGCAAGATCTTTGGTTTGAAGTTATTTCATTTAGAAGCACACCAGATGTTTTATTTTGGAAACCATAAGAAAGTTCACCATCGTTCTGAAGACTTCATTTTCTCTTACCTATTTTTTTTACACCTAGCATTACACTAAGATTTTTATTTCACATCTGAGTAGTACTTACAGAAGAAAAATATTGTGTCTTTTGTGCTTGTTTTTTTTCCTATAAACTACTATAGAATCATCAATCGGTGAAAACTGACCGCAGTTAGCTTCAGGCTCCAGCAGTGTATGTTAGTCCCTTTCAAGAGTCAAAGTAAAATTCACAAAAGAATAGGAACTCTTTAGTGTTTTAGTCAAAAATTCCAACAGCTGCACCCACTGAGTCACTCAAAGAGCAGATCAATTGTATGTTGCTGTACCCAATTTATGTACCACCACATACAGCATCTAACAATCAATGTTTCCCAAAATTGTTCAAGTATTAGAGGAGGGTTTGGCTTCATAGCCTAGAGAATCAAATCTGAAATAACTAGCTGGATCCGTAAAGCCCTTTTGTTCATCTAGAATGTCAGAAATTTTGTATGAGTAAGACTACCGTGGAGGGGAGGCTTCTGAGCAGGACTGTAAAGAGAAAACATCCCCTAGAATTTGCAAAATACAGTAAGCACTGTTTTCTCCACTTACCTTTCACCAAATGGTACTTAGCTAGTATTTTGTACTATATAGCTGCATTTCAGTGGAACTGTTCATACAGCGTACAGGGCTCAATCCTGTAAGTTTCTGCACATCCTATTAGATAGGTACCTCACTAAGTGTTACCTCAATGAATCTTCAGATAAGTTGGAAATATCTGTGCGCCAGCATCTGGCTTCCAAGCACTACTATGTTAGAACAAATACATGTAACTTGTTAGTCATTCTAGTTCAACCCTGCAAGCAGAGTCAGATGGAAATAGTCAGACTGAAATTTTATGAAAGCCCTGTGCACTTTTTCATCAAACTTCCCAAGGAATAGGGAAGACCAGTATCTGTGTGTACTCACTGTCTCTCTTTTACTTCAGTAACAGGAAAACATATTTCTACCTGCTTACCCTCTTGATATAAGAGCTAAACAATTTCTATTTAAATCAGTACAGAAGTCCAACAGACTTGAAATCAGAGAAATTTAAGCTGCTGGAGTTAACCTACCAATATTCGCATTAAGGCAGTGTCTTACTGCCCCTTTGCCCAAGCAAACTCCGTGGATCACTGCACGCCTCACCCAGTTAGTTAGCAGTTAGGCTCCAGGTCTCACTCCAGAGCTCTCCTTGTGCCTCTGGAGCAGGAGCAGTGTTTGGAACATACCTCACCATACGGTCTCTTTGCCTCTAGGTACACCCAACTCAGTTATGATTGTATTGACCAGCAAGATTCATAGCAGTGGCCAAAGCAGAAAAGTAAAATTGATGATTACCTTTCCCAAAGAACAAGGCAGAGAGATCTCCAGCAGTATTTAAAACAGTTCAACGGGGACTATGTTTCTCACAGAGCTAACAGGCTACTGACACTTGAGATAACTTGAACAAAAATGTAAGCCAGAACACAAAATAAAGCATATAACATGATTTAGTGGTCAATAATAAGAGTGAGGTGAATGGAAGAGCGCTACATAAAATAACAGAAAAAATTGCCACAAAGTCACTGAAGTGACTGCTAGAAAACTGCTGATCCCTGTTTAAATGGCCAAGAGGTTGATTTACAGATCATAACAGAACCTACAAATCCAGCTGCAGCAATACATTTATCTTTCCTTCTTCCATTTTTATGCATGACACACACCACCATCTGCTGGATGAAGTACTGAACTAATCCAGTAACATACAAGGTTTTTTTGTTGTGAAAACCCCTTTACCATCATATTTACCTGAGGCAGATGCAAAACAACCTGGGATGTGTGGAGACCATATAGTGCTGTAAATGACCCCTTCGTGGCCTTTAAAAGTGCATAATGACTTCCCCACAGCTGGATCCCACTGAATAAAGTAAAAGGAAAACTGTTGAGGTACACATTCAGTAAGAAAGGGTTTCATACATAAAAAAAGCTTTATACATACAGAAAGGACTAAATTAACTTCTTTTTACCATGTATCAAGAAAAGCATTTGTATGCTTAAACTGATATCAACTGAGGGATAAAGCAACACCTCAGTTAAAACAGAATTTCAGCCTCAATGTACAAATAGAGAGGAAAAGTGAATCAATGCTGTTTCTTAACACGAAGAACTATCAGATCCAAAACAAATCACATTTTTGGTTTTATGCTGAAGGTGAACATACCAGCTTGGCTGTTTGATCCCATGAACCAGACACCACTAGCTGCTCTCCTCTAGTTTGGCTCCAGTCAACACTATATGCCTATAAATGATATAACAGCCTAGTTCAGAAAGAGCATTAGAATACAAGTTTGAGACTCTAGTTCACCAAAGTTTCACGAAATAGACTTGGATTTGCAGATTGTATCATAATCAGCTAAAAAACTGCACCAGTCAAGCACCACACAGTTGCCAACAATGCCATTTACCTGAAAAAAAATTAAATTTAACATCTCAGTCTGTCAGTAAAGGTACATATAGGCTCAGAAAAGTATCCAAAAAAGTAAAGATGGGCGAAAATGGAGGGGGGAAAAAAAAGTTGTAATAAAATCCACAGAGACCCACCATGACTAGAAGTGTCTACCACTGTAAAAAGCCATAATTCAGATTGATTTCTTATCTCTGGTCCAATTTTATTCAAATATGTACAAGTTTCTAATTGCTAGCAATGTAAATGCCATCTCTCTTCAGAGCTGACTACGGAGCTGACTTTGAGGTTTTAGCTGACTAACAATAAATACTTTTTTATTATATCTAATTCTCATAAGAAGTACATGCCATAAAATACTCCTTCTTTTCATCTTTTCCAGGTTCTATGACACTCTTTTTTTACCATTCATATCCTTAAACAAATAAAATAAAATTAAAAACTCAACTTGCCTCATGACTAATCATTTCAGCTATTAAGAAATTGCTTTTCGCTGTGCAGTTGAAATAAGCTCCCTCTTCTCCAACAGTTTATTCTAACGTTGGTCCCCGCGCCTTGACAGAGAATACCTTAACTCCATCTTTCACTGCTGATTTTTCAGCTCTGCTGCCTCAGCGAAAACGAATGCTCTGAGGAAGTTCTTCAAACTACTTGAAATCTGAAAGTCTCAAGAACATGTACAACTTCCATCTTCAAATGCACCGTATCTTCATGTACATGATGGAAGGTGTATTCCATTCTGTCTAGTCTTATCTCGCACCAAAATGGCTCAATAAGCTGCAATGGACATGAACCATTTCAGTGCTAAGGTGGATAAACATTAGCTGAAACAGTTTATTTGCTTCACCTCCTGACCCAATCAGACCTTCCATGATACTTCTCTGAAATGTGGCCACTACCTACCAGTAGTAGGTAGCACTGCTCTCAACAGTCAGGCCACTACCCACCGAGGATTTGTACTCCAGTTGGGACAATCTAGTTCTAGCACAGCACTGGATCTAATCTGCAAGTCAACATACTAGATGCTGTGTTTGTCTTGGATAGATGGAATTGTGCATTAAACGACAGCAATCCTGTTTTGAAAGTGAAAATGTTTGGACCTGTGTCACCAGACAAAAAAGCAGAGAAGCTGGACTGGAAAAAAATCCAGCAAAAGCCAAAGTCTTCTATGGAAAGTGTCCTGTATGAGAAAGGAAATCGAGGTATCATTTAGCTACTTCTGAGAATTTTCCTTCCTAAGAAATATTTCAGTCTATGCTAGATCCAGGTTAAATTAACTGTTTTTCATCTATTTGCTTATTTCCCATCAGTGGAAGGCAACCCACTGCCCACAGAAAAACAAAGTGCATTATCTCCAACTTTCCTTTTTTATTTTACAATGTCCTGCTTTCCATATACTGAAAGACATATTGCTCTGGCGCCATTTTGTGCTAACTCCCTTCCTTGAGGAGCTTTTAACCAAAATGTACAAGACACTCAGACAGTACTTGACAAAAAACAAATAAGAAACTGAGAGGTAATTCTTTTGTTTGTTTTTCCAAACCATGCCTTTACCTCTTGGCTTTTCTATTTTTGTCAGCTAACTACCAGCAACTACCAGCTCATTAAAACACCCTCCCTTTCAACCTGACTCCTCCTATTAAAATAATAACGAATATTTTAAGAACGGAAGGCATCCTGGTTCTCCGAAGTGGCTCCCGAGCTCCTCACAAATATTAGCCTCTCTCCTTGCCACTGAATCTGTGTCATGGTCTGTGTTAAACTCCAAAGCTGTTGCTGTTTGGAAATGCCCCTAAATGTGTCACTACATAGTATGCCTCTTTCACACAACAGCTCTATAAAGTCAGCTCAGTTGAAGTGTTTGGCTTTCATATTCATGCCCAAGATTTTCCAGAAAGAAATACGACTCTGAGAAATATGCACCTGTGTCACACCATTCACCTAGCCCCACATATTTGGGATGTGTCAGATCTACTGCACAGATAAGGCAAAGCGCACATATGGCTTACAGCTCACTCGCAAGCTATCAGCACATAGATCTGTTGAACACAGATCTGCGTACATATGGCAGACATGGTTGGGACTGCCCAGCACTCTGCAGCTGCATCGGTGGCAATGGGACCTGGGCAAATTCTCCTTCGGGCAAGAACAGCAAACAGAACAGACAACAGGCTCAGGAAAAGCAAGAGCTATTTTCCGTTTGGCATGTGACAGGGCCAGGTAATGGGAAGAGAATGAAAAGAAGAAGGTGTGGAGAATGAAGTAAGGTTCACTTTCATTCTTTCCTTTTCATGCTATCATCCAACATAAATTTGCAGACTCTTCAATAGAAGCTGTATTGAGCAACTGGGAAAGACTAATAACACAGCATAAACCTTAGTTATTAATCTTTTAGTGCTTTATCTTCAATCATAAAATACATTAATACTAGTTTATGCCTAAACAGCAGCAAGAAATGCCTCAGGCAAGATGAAAAGATGATGAAAAAAAGATGTAAAAACATAAAAAATAGTTCAAAATAAATGTTCAGGCTCACTTTAAAAGACAAATTTAATTCAGGCATTCTGTTGTCTCACATTCCAGTGAGACTTCATCAAAACCAAAGTAAATTAGACTAATTTATTCATGAGATTCAGCAGTTGGTTAGTGCTGGAATAAAACTCATTGTCCTTTGATAATAAAGATGCGCTTTTAAATTAAAAATGCACATTCTTTTTGAGGAGGGATAATGATCTCATTTAGAAAACAAGAAACAGATCCCTGTCAATCTTGCATTAGAAACATTATAAAATGCAGTGACAAAATTGTCATAAGAAATGTCAGCCAGGGATTAAGGATTAGGAAGGTAGTCAATCATTTTAAAGAGCACTGTCTGCTAGTGTTTACCACAAACTATTAGGTATATTCCCTCTGAGATCTATCCTCTTAATGCATGTTTATAAAGAATCAATACAAACCTTTCGTATCTCACAATACACACTCAGACCGCGTTTCCTATACTGTCTTTCTAACTCATGGTTGAATGCGTCCACCTCCCCATGCTACCTGCTAAACTAAGACTTGGACACAGAAATGTTTACTTCACAAACAACAGATGGTGTAGCAGAACCAAAATAAACTTATGAACAGAATTTCAATGAGAAAATGATAGAGACAAAAAAAAATTGGTATTATGCTTTGCCTACATCTTTCTGTTACTACCATTAGCCTTTGAACACTATCATAAAATCCTGATCGCAACTACAAACTCATCTCAAAATTCTTTATTTACATAGTATACGTATTAAACCAAAGTAGCAAAATTACAAAGAAATAAGGTACAGAAGACAGGCTGTCATGTAACTGCCGTCACTCAGCTTTTAGCTTTGTGCTTCGTATCTGAAAAAATCTTGAGGTCTTTGTAAATACAAAACTAGATTTCCTCCATCATTTTTTTATTGACTACATATCCACTAGGTTTATGTCATTTACATAAAGCGTCAGTAATCCAGGCTAAAACTGATTGCATCTAAAGTTCAAAGACTTGACAGAAATGAGTGGAGTTAGAACGAAAGCATGAAAAAAAAAAAAGGGTAGAGAAATCACTTGGGGGAAGACAAATATACTAAAGCATAAATGTCCTTAAAAATATGCAAATACATTTATGAACATTAATATAGCATTTTTCTCTACCCATACTGCACTGCATAAAGAAACTGAGATTTTAAGAAAATCAAATGCAACGGTATCAAACCAAGGCTAAAAAAATACATGCTGTCCCAATATTTGATAACTGTTATTTGAGTAGGATCTCACAGATGCTAGGATGGAAAAAGGATAAGCAGTTCCCAGGTACTACAGAAGTCCTAAGGATCTGCATAATGTGTATCACTCTATGCCTCAAGTATAACGCTGCTATATACATCAGCTGTCTGACTTAGACCTACCCAATAATGCTCTCTAAAAATTAGGGAATGCCTGCAGTACTTTCATACAACACAATGATTACTTAGCCTATAAGAAACCACAAATGCTATTTCTGAATATATTAGATTTATGTAATTAAGCGGCACCTACTAGAGCATATGAATGTACATACCAATATGTACAACGGGTAATTCACTTTATATTCAAAATAATGTTGTTACGAATTCAAACCATGGACCCAAACAAAGTTAAAAAATTTTTGACAACAAAATCCACTTTTGAAAAAGTCCACAAATAAATCCTTTAATAATTCAAACATTAGACCATCCATTACATTTTTCAAGTTTGCCTGGTTTACCTCCTGAGCGTGCTCTTTATAGACTTGCAGTGGACCTTTGGTTTTAGCTGTATCCCAGATTTGCAGAGATCCATCTCCGCTAGAAGTGATCAACACATGTTCATTATTCTCACTCCAGGTCACATCAAACAGACCATCATTCCAGTCAAAACTAAATCGGAACAATGAAGATATTTGTCCATGAGAAAGCATGACATAGAAGTCTGGACTAGTTACATGCAAATACAGTATTTCTTTAAATCACCCTATTTACCATGCTAAACAGCATTTTTATATATTTGAGTTTCCTGTAAAATCTCCTTACAAGTAACTTGTTATAATGGCAACTTTTACAACTGTATGCCAGAATAGGTTGATTAAGTTAAAGCATAAATGAGCCAAGGACCTTCCACACACAGAGAACGAAATCTGATTTCAGTCTTAAACTTGCCAGGCAAAGAGAGACAGAGGTACCACATGTCTCAGCCTGATCTAAGGTTTCTCCAGGATGTTGCTACAGAGGTAGGAGCCCTTTGTCTGTAACAAGTGTGGTAAACAAAGAAATAAAACTGTTTGTGTTGGGAGAGCTCTATCCAATTCACACCACCATTAGGAAGCTGAGTCACAGTGAAAAAAACAACAGAAAGACAGTCATGAACACATTAAAGATCTCTACGCTCCCTTAAAAGGGTTTTCAACACACCAACAATTCCTCATACAGGATCTGATACCATATATTAGTTGCTCTGCAACAACTATCGATGACCGTGCTGTTATCTGATGGTAAATATTAATTTATTTACCCCCTTTTCACTGAAGGTTCAGCTAAGCTCAGGTTAAACTTCATGGCACCCTGCAGTAATGATGAAGGGAAGGCATGCACACAGAACGTTTCCATAGAGAAAATGACACAGCTTATGGCTCAGAAAGTTACAGGACTTTCTACCACAAAATAAGTGGAGTAACTGGAAACATAGAAATGAACAGTACTAAACCAGAGCACTTCGCAGAACTAACAGAGCGTTGAACATCTTCAACGAGTCTTGCTTTAACAATTATGAATTAAAAACACTTTCTCTGAATAGGATTAACTATTTGTTAAGCATTTCTATTTCAGGCCTCTTAATCTAAACAATTACTGTTTCAAAACTTTTTTCAAAAAAAAAAGTAAGTCAATGATGGCTAAGTATTAAACCCCCTCCTTCCTAACCTTTCTCCTTCTTCCATCCAGAAGACAAATCAAACTCCTCCCAGACCCTCAGAATATTGGATCTCCTACGAAGGACCTCCATGACTTTACGCAGCTTCCTGCTCTATTTTCAGTATAAGTCAATTATAAGGGCATAAATTTAGGTGGCAATGCACTGTTCCTAAAAAACTAAAACTTTTAATTTCAAGCTAGGGCAGAGAGGCTGCTTTTAATTTACATTGTCAGTTTTCTATAAAATGGTTTACGCTACGGAAAGGGTGCAATCCAGATTGCTTCCTATAATAAAATCTATGCAATATAAACCTATCATTTGTATGTAAATACAAATGCATTCATTTGTATGTAAATACAAAGACATATATTCAGTAGATACTATAGTATAGATACAATACTTTTTATCACTAACAATAATCCAAAATATTTGGGTTGTGTCTTGTACTCACAGGTACATAAAAGTTTTTCTTCTGCAAAAATAAAACATAAACCTGTGTTACCTCCTGAGCAGAACTATCCCAGCTTCATTTTGTTCCAGCACCGCCAGAGTTCCACAACCTAAACCAGGAAAATAAAACAAAACATCACAACTAGTTCCCCCATCCCAAAGGAAACTACTGTGGTTCTGAAGTACCTCCAGTGTGCAAATTCAACGGGCATCTGAACTTTAAGAGGCCAAACAATTTAGTTGCATAAATAAACACCTTGTTGTCTCATGTTCTCTAAAACAGTAATTCATTTACATCAAATTGTTTTTTTATTTTTTTTTTTTTACTCCAGTATACCTGTAGGTGAGGTTGGAAAAGAAACAACTCACTTATAAAGCATAAAAGTGCGTTCTCCCCATGAGCCTCACCTTACAGACATACCAGCACCGGGGTTCCTTTTTATCTTTTTGATAACACAGCAGACATAACACTTTTTTTTCCTCCTGAATCTAGTAATGCAAACACAGCTCACCAGAAATGAAACAATTCAGTTCTGAGAAAACACACATGGCTACTACTCTCCCGTATGACTGGGATATTGTCAAAGTAATTCCACATTTCGAAACTTTATTTAAAATGAATACTTTCAGGAGCAATACTCCCACTGGAAATGAAAAAGGTCCCGATGCTGAGGAAAGCTCAGCTTGCCTCTTCAGCGGGACCGTGGAGTCGCCAGGGCCTGTCGGGACACTCGGTGACTGAGACTAGGACAGTTAAAATTTTAAGGAGAAAATATTTTCAGACATTTCATTCACGCTGTGTGTGTCTCTACTACTATATCTGTTCTCGACCCTATGAAATTAGTACTCCTCTGAGAGGGTCTTGTGAAAAACACCACCGAAACAGCGGGTTTGTATGTCCGTCAGCCGGCGAGCCCGGCAGGCTGGGGACCTCAGGGGCAAGCACCAGGCTTGCAATCCCCTCCGATACTAACCCCGGCCCGGTCACAGAAAACAGACGTTGTACCCAAGCGAAACAAAAGCAACGGAAAGGGAAATCCCAAAACGCTTTT